CATCCTCGTGCAGAGACAACATGCAGCTGAGAAGCTAGCACAAAATTTATTGACGTCAAAAAATCCAGCCGTATATGCTTGTTTTAAATTTGTACCGGGGAACGAATGCTTCAAGTTTTGTAAACGGTTGCAGCAGCAGTAGTAGTCTATTTTAACACCGGAATCGCTCTTATTCACTACTGTCCTGCGCAGCAAGCTTCGAAAATTAACGTCCGATCGTCTGCCCTTTTTGGCTGATTAATTATGCAACGAGCGGAGCGCGCGAGGAGTTTCACACTGGAGCTCGTACAACGCTTAGAATGCGGCATTTTTGTGTCGGTAAGTGTGAACGTCTTCATGCCTAGTACATCCGAGAGGTTTGAGTATATCTCCAACTTTTCCCTGCTCCTCCACCCTCCCCCACATCTTACGGCTGCTGCGTTAACTAACTGGCGGGTTTAAAATGATGGGCTATTCATCAAACTGGTTTTGTGAGTTGTCGATGCGGGGCGGGACGGGACGGGACGGCATGGGGGAGGGAAGGGTTGCTCTGCTCTCTGAATACCATTGTAACGCGCAACGACAATTCCTACGTGCGAGCACGAATAGTATCGCGCTGACTGTTCTTTTAAACGCACACACAAGAGACGTGTTAGTCCATCAAAGGATAGGGGCGCAATATCGAAGCATGCAAGATGCTATCTTTCTGAGCACTTGCTTATCTGTCACGCTATTCCATGAAAAACAAAGCCACACAGAGGGACAGAGATCAAGACGAAGCCGAACAGATGGACAGTTGTTTTTCTTAGGGAGCTCTTCTAAATCCAACAAAGGCTTTTTATTGTGTAGTTTTACTTAAACCAGAATATTTAACGTATTTTACCGGTAATACCAAGAGCTTTCTATGCATGCGGCTTTGTCGATAATTACTAATTCGATGCTGAGTGACAGTCTAGAAGAACAATAGGTATTTTGGACCAAAATTGATTATACCGTTGAACCATAAAGCTGACAAGCCTTGTTTTGGTAATGACTGATTTTTCTGTGGAGCAGTGGGAATAAAATACTTTTTTTAATACAGTGTCCAGTGAAAATGTGAATGATAAGAATAATTCTTAATGAGAACTCGCACTCGTAAATCCTTCACCTGTAAATAGGTGCCGTGTCCAATGATATACATCTCCCTATGTTATATTTTTGACGGGAAATTGTCGTAGACGGGGAACTTCATGTTCTCATAACATCTAAGACGCTTTTCGAAAAGGCGAATTCCAATTCTCGAAGGAAATTGTTGAATTTTTCACACAGTATGCAACCGAAATCGCGCAGTACTAACCTAAAGCATTTTACGTATTTTCGAGTTTAAAAAATCCGTGGGTTATAGTACAATACCGATTGGCATCCGAAATACTCCCAGAATCGTGCGTTTATGCTAGAATGAATTTTATAGTCCACGGCGTAAAGTGATGATTATATTATTTTTGCTGTATTCACTGTTCCCCCAAGCTGTTTTCGTAAAAGCTTTTGCTGTAAACCACCTCACCTTTTCGGTGCATTTGCAAGCCTAGAACAGGATCTGCAATTACTCAAATGAAGCGGAAAACGCGTCAGTATAAAGAACAACTTAA